GAGGGAGGGAGGGAGGGGGAGGATGTAAAGGTGGAAGGGAACTAGTGTGGAAGGATGGGCCTGGTAGGAGTAGTAAGGGAGCTGAATATGACCACAAGACACTATATGGAAGCATAAAATTGTTTATTTAAAAAAAAGAGCAAATAAAAATGTAAAGCATCTTGGGTAAGATTTCAGTTGAGAAGGGCCGGTCCCAGGGTGGGCAGAGCCTCACACTGGCTGGCGGAGAAGTTGCCATCATCCATGGCTTCTTGCTTCCTGTCTCCGTCCAGGAAGGAAACTGTGCAAAGAGCTGTGCAGACAGCCCAAGTGTCGGGGCAAAGTTTCAGCCTGCAGGTTCCGGGGACAAAGTGGGGCCACGAGAGAACTGTGGTCATCTCCTGCCTTGCCTCTCCTTCCTGAGAGCCGAACACTGGATCTTGGCTTAGGGAGAAGGGAAGCTATGGACATAGATTTCATATACCTGCTTTGCCTGGGTGAGTCTCCAGGGCTGTGACAATTGCCTAGCTGGGTAAGAAAAACTCACAGCAAGGTCAAGGTGGTGACAGGGGTTGGGGGGTTGGGGGATGGGAGGATGGGGGGGTGGGGGGGTTAGAGGGCGGGTATCTCAAAGACATCAGTACCGGTGCCACACCTGAAAGACCCTGATTACTGCTAGAAATGCAAGCTCCATGGGGTCTCTGCATCTCCTTTCTGGGCCCCACAATCTTGCCTGGTCATTCCACTAGATTAGAAAGGGGTCGAGGTATAGAAACTGTCAAGTGTAAAGCTGTGGGTGAGATGCAGAATTTTCAGCCATCCCCATCCTTGGGCTAATTTTAACAGCCTAGGTTTGAATCTACCCACATGAAACTGACCTCGGTGCCTGAAGAGGAAGATGGGGTTGTTGGCCTGGTTACATTACACAGCAGCTCCCCTTTAAGAGGCCCCTAGTTCCTCCCTGGTGGAAGAGTAGGGAAGGCCACATCTGCCCTGGTCCTTCCTCTTTCTCTGCACACAGCCTTCCCTCCAGGTCGGTGCTTCTCTCTGTGTATGCCTTTTAGAGAGCATACTCCAGACACAGCACCTCCAAGCCTCTGCCCACAGGCCAGGGTAAACAGCTCCTCTGGGAAATATCCTGATATAACCTGTGTTGTTTTCCTGGGGCTGCTGTACCCAAGTGCCACCAACCTATTGGTTTAAAACAAAAGAAGCCCCCATGGTACTGGATAGGTGAGACAGTTGTTTGGCTTGAACTGTTTAGGGGGCCCCCAGGCAGTGGGATCGGGATCCATCCCTGGTGCATGAGCTGGCTTTTTGGAGCCCAGTGCCTATGGTGGGACGCCTTGCGCAGCCTTGGTTCAGGGAGGAGGGGATTGGACCTGCCTCAACTGAATTTACCAGGATCTGCTGACTCCCCATGGGAGACCTTGCCTTGGAGGCAGTGGGATGGGGGGGTGGGTAGGGGGGAAGGCTGGGGGGCGGGAGGAGGGAGGAGAGGGGGATCTGTGGTTAGTATGTAAAATGAATAGAAAATTTCTTAATAAAAAATTTGTTTTTAAAAAGGAAAATAATTTTCTTGGTTACGTGAGTTACAGAGATCAAGGTGTAGACAACATTGGTTCCTTTGGAAGGAGGGAAGGGAGATCCTGTTCCACGTCTCTCTTGTAGCTTGTAGCTTCTGGTGGCAGCTGGCAATGTGTTTGGGGGCACTGTTCATTGTTGCTCTTGTTTTACATTGTTTAATTATATATTTAAAGACAGGGGGTCTTAGTCAGGGTTCCTATGGCTGTGAAGAGACACTGTGACTTTGGCAACTCTTATAAAGGAGAGCATTTAACTGGGACTGGCCTATAGGTTAAGAGATTTAGTCCATTATCATAGCGGGAAGCATGGCATCAGCAGTCATGTTGCTAGAGAGGTAGCTGAGAGTTGTACATCTGGAGTGGGAGGCAGCAGGGAGAGAGAGAGAGAGAGAGAGAGAGAGAGAGAGAGAGAGAGAGAGAGAGAGAGAGAGAGAGATTGGACCTGGCTTGAACATTTGAAACTTCAAAGCTTACACCCACTGAAATATTTCTTTCCTATTTCTTCTAAGAAGGCCACATGTACTAATCCTTTCAAATAATGCCATTCCCTATGAAGTTACAGGGGCCATTTTCATTCAAACTAGCATGCAGGGTTTCACTAAGCAGCCAGAAATGGCCTGAAGCCTACAGAGATCTGTCTGCCTCTACCTCTTGAGTACTGGGACAAAAGGTGTGCACCACCATAGAGTGCTCCCTTCTGGACCCCAGATTAGACACAGACCACACCCAAACACCGGTTTCCAACACAAAGAGCTCCACTATTAAGCAAGACAGAGAAACAGGGTAGTTGAATCTGAATCGGACAGAAAGGGCAGCAAATCGGCTCTGCAGGAGTGGGTTTTAGGGGGAAAAAAGTGGAATTCTACCTAGAGAATCTGGTGGGTTAGCCTTGACAGTCAGTTTTAGGAATAAGGAAATGGCCAAATAAGGGAGACAAAACAAAGAAAGGGGGGAGGACTGGGACCTGTGTGTAGCTGGAGTGTTCCTGCCTTGTCCACAGTCAGGACAAATCTCTGTCACCCGCCAGTCCCACAGCCGCTCAGACCCAACCAAGTAAACACAGAGACTTATATTGCTTACAAACTGTATGGCCATGGCAGGCTTCTTGCTAACTGTTCTTATAGCGTAAATTAATCCATTTCCATAAATCTATACCTTGCCACGTGGATCGTGGCTTCCTGGCGTCTTCACATGCTGCTTATCATGTTGGTGGCTGGCAGTGACTCCTTCCACCTTCCTGTTCTCTCAATTCCCTACTCTGTTAGTCCTGCCCATACTTCCTGCCTGGCCACTAGCCAATCAGTGTTTTATTTATTGACCAATCAGAGCAACAGATTTGACATACAGACCATCCCACAGCACATGTGGGCACCATGTTTACCACGTTTGGCCCCGTTAGAGCCCTCCGTTGACTACAGAGTTTAATCCCTGGATGTTCATCCAGTGATGGAGGAGAACCAAATCCTGAGAGTCGATCTCCACATGCATGCCGTGGCATCTATGCACTTAGAGGCTCCCACAAGAACACACATGCATCATATACACACAATAGTAACTCATTCTATAAAAATATAAAGCAAATACAAATGTTTACACAGATTCCAATATCAAAAGCTTTCCAGAAGTAAGACAAAGTCAAAAGCTGACACGCAGCATCAATGTGAGGAACTCCACTGAGGGCAACTGTGGGTCCTTTGCTCTGCTGGCATGCTACTTCATGGGTCAAGGGCTCTGGGCAGCTATGGTTCTACAGCTTTGAACCCCCATCCACTGTGGTGGCTTGAAGGAGAATGGACCCCCTGGGCTCATGCATTTGAACACTTGGTCTCCAGTTGGTGGAAGTATTTGGGAAGGATTGAGAGGTGTGGCCTTGTTGGAGGAGATGAGGAGATGGAGTTACAGACAGGAGCCACCATATGGGTGTTGGGAATAGAGCCCTGGTTCTCTGGAAGGACAGTCAAAGGTCTTAACATTGTTGTACCTGTTTTGGAAAAGCCCCCAGAGACCACCAAGGAGATGGTTTCCAGTGTAAGCACATAAGAGTCCTTTTATTGTCAGGTTTGAACGTGGGCCACCACCAGGCAGATGGAGGGAAATGCAGCGGCAGTGAGCCCAGGGGTAGAGAGTTTTTATAGGGATAAACTGCAAGCTGGGAATTGCTGATGGTTTTTAGCGGCGCTCTTACCCTGCGAGGAAAAGTCACGAAACATGATGGAATCCACTAACAAGAGTTTAATTAAGACAAGGAGAAAGGGATAGATGTGATCAGGCCTGCAGAAGGACATGTGTGAGAAGGGAGCAGGGGAACATGGGGCCTATCTTTTTAAGGGCCAGCTTGCCCCGGCGCACACAGGTCCATGTGGCTATTCCACGCATGTGCATAGACCATGTGGTCACGCCATGTGATTACATGACCACACAGCCATGGGGCATGGGTTACATAGGACATTGACCTGGAAATGACTAGGTGGAAAAGACTAAGTGTCCTGCAGGGCACGCAAGACCATGGGGGCGTGGTTGGAATTCCTATCAATTGCATGCTTTGGCAATTTGGAATTGGGTAGAAGGGATATAGAGCAAGGTGATTTTTGAAACTATTGGTCTAGACTTTAGGTGAGAAACCACATTTGAAACCATTGGATTGTACTTTTAACAGGAAACCACAACTTGCTCATCAGGATTATTTGGACTGCTTAGCAAGATTATGTGGATGTCTTCAAGGGCCATAAACTGCAGACAGGATGTCTGCAGGAGCATACTGCCCTGTATCTGTTCTAGTTGTCATGGCACATTCCTGAGGTCCTTTCTGGAACTGAGCACAGCAGGTAGTCTAAGATGGTGGCCCTACCCTTATATGTGGTCTGTATTGCCTTCACAACATGTGCTATCTCTCCACCCCATATATATTTTATATAAATAATTATTCTTTGAAAATTTCATACATATATACAATATGTCTGAATCATTTACCCCTCTCCACTCCCCCCTTTAACTCCCTCCAGGATTCTCCATAATATCTTCCCCCCAAATCTCCCTTCCTTCTTTCTTTCTTTCTTTCCTTCCTTCCTTCCTTCCTCCCTTCCCTCCTTTCTTCCTTCCCTCCTTTCTTATCTCACTGAGTTCAATTAGTGTTGACCATATGCCTATTTGTACGAAGTCATCCAGTGGGACATGGACACCTACCTGTGGTTACACCCCTAAAGCAAAGTGACTCCTCTTCCCTCAGCAACATGGAACCTCAAAGCCCTCACCACTCCATGCTGGAGTCCCTTCCCTGCCCTGGCCCCCCAAACAGGATCCCTCTGAGTGGCCCTAGCTTTCCTAGAACTCACTCTGTAGACCAGGCTGGCCTCAAACTCAGAGACCCGCCAGCCCCTGCCTCCCAAATGCTAGGATTAAAGTCATGTACCACCACTGTCCGGCAACCATGCTGGAATTTTAACTGGCTTGATTCTGTGCTGACTGCTGCTGTGAATTCATATAAATCTCCATGAGAGAGGGCAAAAATACCCAGCACATTGATTTTTAAACAGTTGCTGAGGTAAAAGTCACAGAACATAAAACTGGCTACTTGAAAGTCTACAGAGCAGGGACAGTTGGTATATTCACAGTATTGTGCAACCACCGCCTCTATCTCGTTCCAAGATATTGTCATCACGCCCACAGAAACACTATGCTTATTAAGTTCCCCACACCTCCTGCTCCTGGCATCTCCTAATGAGCTTTCTGTCTCTCTGGATTTGCATATTCTGGATAAGGTACGAAACAGAATGACACAACGTATAATCCTTGGTCCCTCACTTTCAGTTAGTATGCTTTTTTTCATTCCATTCTCCTGCCTCCATCTCCCAAGTCACCCTCCTGCCTCCAAGGGCAGAGATTACAGAAATGCAAATTAATACCCACTCTGCGTGGAGATAGGGGTAGAATCCACTGCTCTATGCATGCCAGACAAGCATTCTACCAGCTGAGCTAGATCCCCGGCCCTAAATTTAAAAGCAAGAATTAAGAAGATGCTTACTGCCCAGCGGTGGTGGCACATGCCTTTAATCCCAGCACTCGGGAGGCAGAGGCAGGTGATCTCTGTGAGTTCTAGGTCAGGCTGGCCTACACAGCTAGTTCCAGGACAGCCAGAGCTGTTACACAGAGAAACTCTGTCTCCAATAGATAGATAGATAGATAGATAGATAGATAGATAGATAGATAGATAGATAGATAGATAGATAGATAGAT